CAGGCCCTGAAACTTGAACCAAGGGACTGTGGATGGAACCCTCTGAAACCAGGAGTGGAAATCAATAATCCCTCCCCCACGTTGTTTCTGTCAGGTGTTTGTTTATGAAAGTAACTAACATAGATAAAACTCAGCATGTTCAGAGCGAACTTTGGCAAACTCGTGTCTTAAAAGCAGACAAAATAAACGAATTGCCTACTGTGCTGTGGGCACAGCAGTGTTTCCTCGCTTGTATTTCAAATAATGGCCTCTCACCCACCACCCCCAGAGCCCTGATGAGAAAGTCCTGGAAATAAATGAGCTCTGTGTACGCACATGCTGGGAAGCTTCCACCCAGAGAGAGCATTCTGTGCTGAGGGGGAGGGATGCCCGATACTCTCCCCTAGAAATACTAGAGCTGAGGAGAAGATGACTTAAGTTGCAATGATTTGTGATCTGAACATGAATATGTATTTTTATTGCGGTATTCATTATGCGGAACACAGCACGTTTTGCCTAAAGCAATCTCTGGATCCCAATCCTATGGATATTTTATATTGGATTCTGAAACACACAAATTTATGTAGAACCATTTCACAGATCCTAACAAGGACCTGGAAAGTGACCTGGAGCACATTGATAGAATGGCTCCACTTCCATCTGGAGCCAGCTTTCGGTGTGTTCTTCCATACCTGTGCTCTACTTAATGTGCGGGCTCCAAAACTGAGAGAAGACCCATAAATCACAGATATCCTAAAGGAGGTCAATTTATACCAGGATTGTGAAGGGGAAAAAACTAGTACTGAATGATATTATTCATAAAATGAAATCATAAGTTTAATTGTCCCTATGTATATGCAAATTTGTGTATGTAGGATGTGCAATTCTATCAAAAATGATCTCAAACAATATCTATAATACTATAGTCACAGTGTTGGTCCTATATCTACCTTTCCCTTGAGGTGAAACTACCCTGGTCACAACCTCAGCTCCATAAACTGCACTGAAGGGGTGCCTTGGGTGATTGGTTGTAGTAGAAGCAACTAACTTATCCAAGAAAGACTGAACTGAATTGCCCAGAGACCAACACAGTGACCAAGTACTTGCTGAGGGGTCATCTCCCTCCTGGACAGGAACTAGGATGTTCATGGAACCTAGGGAGTAGTAGTAGGCATAAGAAAGCATCTAGGACCCCAAAGCAACAGAGTGGCACCCTAAAGATCTGTTCTGCATCTTTGTAGAGAAATTGTGTAGCCCACAAATAAGAGTCAGAGACTCATGTTCCATATCCTCAAGGACAGGCCATGTAAGATTCCTGGAATTCTCATGAATGAAGGATTTGTCTAAAATCCTTTTTTTCTTTACTTGGGTAGTTATTTATGTCAGAAATGACTAATTTTATATGTTTGCTTATAATTTAATATTATATTTTGTGATTTACTTTATTCCTTGCATTGGTCAATATGAATTCTGATTGCTTCCTGTGGTTTCTTTGACATACCTTATACTTGTACGCACATGTGTGTATGTGTATGTGTGCATGCATCAACATGCGTTTATGTAAGTGTTTTGTTTTGAGTTCTTCTTTATTTTATTGTGTTATCAGATGCTGAGGGATTATTGTATATTCTCTTTCACAGTTCTAGAGTGAGCACTTTCTCCAAGGAGTTCTAGCTTCTTTGCCTGCAAAATCGAACTAAAGGCAAAACTTTGGGTACTAAGCATAAGTATGGATTTGCTAATTACGTGAGTCTATTCATCCACCTCTTTTGTTCTTTTTTCTCCCTTAAGTCTATTTTATTTGAATTTGTCACTTGAAACCAAAGCTTAATATAAAGATATAAAAAAGAGCTCAACCATCTTCCCAATTTCAATAAATAACAGCTCCTTGCATCTCCTTCTCGGCAGGGCCAGGCCACTCCTCAGGCATTGAATTTAGTCCCCAGCTTGCTCTGCTCCCTTGTTCCTTTCTCTCCGCTCTTTCAAACAGCCCTCTGTTCTGTAAGTCTGTGATCTCCAGGCTTAGTTTGCCCTTTCCCCCTTCAGCCATATCAATCTGAGCTCCTGTATCAGAAATGCCTTGGAAATCTAGGCCAGCATGACATAAAAGCAGATATCATAAGTTTCTACTCTAACATAAGCTAAGTGAAGCAGGGTTTGCGGAACAAAATGCAGCCAGCATCTTAGTGTTTAGTTCTCTAATGGTGACCCCCCATCTCTTAAAAGGTCATCTTCCAGGAGATGGGCAGGTGGCTCAGGTGAGAAGTCTTACTGTGCATCCAGGTAAAATGCTAGATATGGTGACTATAATCTCAGTGCTAGGAACCAGTGATGGTAGGCTCCTGCCCGCCAGGTTAGCCTAACCAGCAAACTCCAGATTCTGCCTTAAAAACACATGTGCATAGCAATTGCAGAAGGCACACAATTGTTGGCCTCTGGCCAGCACACTCACATACACAAGTGCATGCTCTTACATACACATAGCATATACACGCATATACCACCACTATGACCAACACCACCACAAAAAGCAAAAACTAATACTCCAAATTTCCTAAAACTTAAAAATCTCTCACCAGTAGGAAATTGATTTTATGCCATCCCATTTATTCCTTCATAGAATTTATTTGCAATTATATTTTTACTGTTATGACAGGCTCATTGTCCTTATCTCTTGGTACAATGTGATGTCCATTAGAGAAGGCCTTGCTTTGCACTCTACTCCCAGTCTTGTTCAACATCATTAGCATACAACTTGATCTTTATAAATATTTGTAGAACACATATTTGAATGAATGGATGGATGGATGGATGGATGGATGGATGGATGGATGGATGATGAACAAACACTCAATGAATGAGCTAATCTTGGACAACAAGACCTTCTCACATGTTTGGTACAGGAAGTACAGAATAACCTAGTCATCTCATTGCAGAATGTTACACTCTCTTTTAAAGAGAGGTATCCAGAGAGCACATATGCCATCCAAAGTAGGATACAGTGTCGGATAGGTTTCTGAGAGGGCACTAATCTCCAGGCAGAAGGGCAGGCAGGGGTATCTGTATTGAGAAAGAGATGTAATGGATGCATAAGCATCAAGAGTAAAGTCCTGGAGCAGCTACAGGAAGGATGGGGGAAGAATCGGAGATCCTAGGGAGAAAAGGAGAAGCCTGAGGAGTGTACTGCAGGGGTAACATAGACTTGGACTTTTATAAACCATTTTGGCAGATGAAGAGGACTAGAAATGAAGGCGAGAATCTAACGACAGGAATCTGGGATGGTGGTACTGGGTGCTAGGACCATCTCTCTGAATGAAGGGTAGTGGGGAATAGAGGTGAATGCTGCAAGGGGGTTAGTCTCATATTTTGAGAGCATCAGAGTGTGTTGCTAATACATAGGGATCTTTAATTTTTTAATTACATTTTATTTATAGGGGTGGTACACACCTGCAGAAGAGTATGTGTGGATATTAAAGAAAAACTCACAGGAACTGGTTCTTGCCTTATTTCCAGGGAATCAAGCTCAGGTTGCCAGGCTTGCCACCAATCACCTTAGCCCACTGAGCCACCTCACCAGCCCTTGGGAAACAACTGTATACAGCTCTCCCAGTTCACATAATAACGTCGGAAGCTTGAGCAACAGAGGTGGGAATATTTACATCACAGGAGCTGGAAAACACTTGAGAATTTTTACATTCCTTTCTTCCTAGAGGAGGAGTCTAGAAAACCTGACACAGAACCAGCAAGATTCTGGAAAGCCACATTTCTGTTGTGTTTCTTACCCACTGATTTTTGTCTCTACAGTGCATTTGTGCTGAGAGAAGAAGTTCTGAGAGACAGCAAGTTTATGCAAATAAGGATCAGAATGAGATCTGCCCTAGGACATTGGCTTGAACTCATAGAATATTCTTGCTTAGTGTTTTTCTGCTTAACTATAATCTCATATTAATAATTGCCTTTGTTCCATAGAAATAGCATAGGAGGTGTGTGTGTGTGTGTGTGTGTGTGTGTGTGTGTCTGTCTGTCTGTCTGTCTGTCTGTCTGTCTGTGTCTGTGTGTGCATTTATGGGGAGGACAGATTAAAGGGAAGAAGGAGCTTTTTTCTTGTCATTCTTGAATTATATATCATATCCTCAAAATCACCAGCATCAGGGCATGGTAGCACACATCTCTAATCCCATTGCTCTGGACTCTGAAACAGGAGAATTAAGTTCAAAGCTATCTGGAACTACAGTCAAGACATTATCTCAAAAACATAGACAGCTCCAACAAAAGTATAGAAGCCATTCAGACTGTGCCCAGAGTAGCAGTGCTTACACTCTGTTCTAGTTTCTTTCTGTTGTTACAAAACAAGCAAGCAAACAAACAAAAAATCCCACCCTCACCCAAATAGACTTAGCGGAGGAAGGATGATTTCCACTTACAGGTCATAGTCTATCACTGACAGGAGTCAGTCAGAAACTTGTAAGCAGAAACCATGGAGGAATGTAGCTTGCTGGATTTCTTGCAGGTTTATGCCCCTCTGACTTTATTCAGCCCAGGACTACTTGCCCAGCAAAGAATGCTGCTGGCGATGAGCTGAACCCTCCTCTATCAATTAAGACAATCCTCTATAGACATGGCCATAGAACAATGTCCTGGGCAATCCCGCAACTAACACTCCCTTCTAAGTGAAGCTTAGGTTGTGCCAAGGGGACAGCTAAAGCTAACCATGGTGTTCCACTCCTTGACACACAAACATATTGTGTTAAACCATACGTTTTTAATTCTTTGTCCCCAAGATCTCATGGTAATGTTATAAAACAAAACACAGAACAACTATGAAAGCCCCACAGTCTTTAAAAAAATTCCAGTGCTTTAAATGTTCAAGGTCTTTTTTAAAATTCAAAGAACTATGGGTTCCTATATAATTAAAAAACAGTTTCATATTTTCTTATTCCAATGGGAAAAATGTAGGGCATTAAAACAATTAGACGTAAGCAAACCCCAAATCCATTAAATTTTGTAGCTGAATGTCTTACATCTGGGGTTCACTCAGGGTCTTCAGGGCTCCAAAGGGTTGTCCCACTCATCTGGCTCTGTCATCCACAGCACACACTGCTTATCTTGTGGGGTTAGACTGGTCCCACTGTTTTTGGCAGATTATCCATGATCTCGTCCTCTCTAACATCCTGAGCTTTCCACTACGACTAACACTTCACTGTCACCCATGGCCTCATAGGGCCTCTCTGCAGGGTTTCCGACACACCCCAATGTGCCAAGTCTCAGCATCTCTCCTGAGCCTTTTATGAGGCTCATAAACCTACCCCACCAGTATGACTCTGACATATTGTTTCCCAAGTCCTGCTATGAGGCCCAAGTGCAGCCCAGCCCCCATTGGCCTGCTTTGTGTGCTATCTCTGACAAATACTTTCCTGTTGTCTCAGTGGAGCATAAAAGGTTTCCATTTGCTCGTGCTCATCTCTTGCTAATTACATTTGATTCTTCAGGCTCAGTTGACCAGGACTCATGGATTCTTAGTTCAAGTCATTATTAAAAACAGCCTGGGTGAGTCTTGGTTCCCTCTGAAACTTTACAAGCCAGGACTCCGCTGTCTGTACTTCTCTTGGCATTCACCTCTACCAGGCTCCCACAGAATGCCCTACTGAAGGCTGAACGCTCCAGAGTTTTTCTAACACATGTTTCCAAGAACATCCACAATCTTTCAATAGAACAGTCAAATATATAATAATCACATGCTCAGGTCCGTCACAGCAATGCCTACTTACCTGGTACTGATTTCTGCTTCAGATCCTTTTGGGGGCTGTGATAACACTATAACCAAAAGCAAGTTGGGGAAAAGAATTTATCTGGTGTATACGCCAAGGTCACAATCCATTGCTGAGGGAAGTCAGGAGAGGAGCTGAATAGGAACTCGAAAGCAGAGGTCGTGAAGGACTGCTGCTTGCTGACTTTCCTCTAGACTCACCTTCAGCTAGCTTTCATATGCAGTGCAGGACCACTTAGCCCAGGGAATGGTGCTGCCCACAGGGAGACAGGCCCTTGCATATCGATTAATTAGACAATGCCCATGGACACACCCAAAGGCCAATCTGATCAAGGCAATCTCTCAGGTAAGAATCACTTCTCAGTTCCTCCCCTGGTAGTCATGCCTGGTCACAGGAAGTGGCCAGTTCAGGTTACATATCCACAATTACTAGGAGTCTTAACTGGGGTCATCCTTGTAGATTCCTGGGAGTTGCCCTTGCACCAGGTTTCTACCCGACCTCGAAATGTACCCCCTCTTTCCAGTCACCTCTTTTAGTACTCTTCCCTTTCACTCCCATCCTAAACCCTCATGTTTCCATCCCCACCTGCCCCTAGTCCTCCCGCCCACATAACCTTCGACCTACAGTGTGTCCTGTCCATGGGATGTGCTGGGAGTAAGGAGTAGGGTCAGGAGTCACCAATCAACGATTGGTACAGTCTGAGACCCATGCCAGGAGAGGGAGCCCACTGTGACACTGCCTGAAGCCCCAGAACCCAGAGGCTGGATGGCCCAGAGACCTAGGATAGAATCAAACGTAACTGGAGAAAAACATCAATGTGATGATGCCTAATGGCATTCTACTATGCTCATAAATTGGTGCCTAGCCCATTTGTTATCAGAGAGCCTTCATCCAGCAACTGATGGAAACAGATACACAGATCTACAATCAAACATTAGGCCAGCTTGGATAAACCTACTGAAGAGAGGGAAGAAGGATTGCAGGAGACAGAGGGGTCAAGGACATCACAAGAAAATTCACAGAACCAACTAACCATAGGGGCTCACAAGGTCTGAACCAACAACCAGGGAACCTGCATGGAACTGACCCACGCCCTCTCTATATATATTTGTAACAATTATGTAGCTAGCTCTTCTTGTGGAACTCCTAAGGTTGGGTATAGGATACCTCTCCAACTCTCTTTGACTGCTTTTTTGGGGAGCCTATTCTTCATACTGGGCTGCTTTGCCCAGCCTTAATATAAGGGGAGGTGCTTAGTCTGAATACAACTTTATATGCCACGTTTTTGTCCTTGGGAGGCCTGCCGTTTCTGAACAGAAAAGAAGTAGATTGGCAGCAGTGCAGAGGGGATGTGGGTGGGGGGAACTGGAGGAAAGGAGGGAGAGGAAAGTGATTGGGATGTAAAATATATACATAAGTTTGATTTAAAATAAGAAAAAAGACTCACTTTTCAGGTGATTCTAGGCTGTGTCAAGTTGACAGTTAAAGCCAGCTAGGACAGACTACAGACTCCAAATGCAAATTATTAGTATTATCTATGCTTCATTTTACAGAACTTTAGCAATTAAGCAACTTGACTCAGAATCTATGTGCTCTAACCAGGTGCCTATGGTTGGATAACTTATAAAAAAAGAGCTTTAGGACTCATGATTCTGCTCACCCAACATCCTGGAAAGGATACTCTGACTATAGAGGAACAGAAAGGGATGGGGCAAGGGCAGAGAGCTGAGGCATAAGTACCTTCAATTAACACTTGCAAGACAGCTGTAACTCATGAGAGTGGGTCCCCTTAACATAACCACCTTCCCCACCTCTCGATGTGTGGCGCGCCCCTTGACCAGCAAGGAAGAATGACCACGAATCGAGGATTCTTCCCAAATCACACTTTATTGGAGCCTCTTGGTTGAAGGGAGAGTGGGAAGCGAGAAGGAGAGAGAGAGAGAGAGAGAGAGAGAGAGAGAGAGAGAGAGAAAGCTAGAGAGAGAGAGCGAGAGAGAAAGCAAGAGAGAGCGAAAGCCCAGAGGCAGCTGCTTTTATAGGGTGGAGGGACTCGGGTACTGTCCTGATTGGTGAATACCATTCTGCTGATGCCCGGGGCCTCAGGATTGGCCAGGGACAAAGCTCAATTGTGCATGTGCAGGCAAAGGGTGCTCAGCCCCACGCGGCAATACCAAATATGGACTTGATTACCTCCAAGCTGCAGGAACACCGGCACCATCTTGTAATGGCGATTTCTCCGGACGGCTACTTACAGTTCCCCTTTTTGTTTTTAAGAGCAATAAGGCAAAACTATTTCCTAATCAGGTCCCCACCTCATGATGTGTGGACCGATCGAGGGAAAGAAAAAAGCAAGATACACCCTTCCCGTGCAATGGGACAAATTTTTCCCTGGGAGTGCAAGGGCTGTATCTACACACTCTCCTCTACGCATACCTTCCTCTGTGCAATGGGACTATCTGGTCCCTAGAGGGTGCAAAGGCTATGCATAGCATATTGCCTACGAGCTCTTTAAGGCTGAAAGCCAAATATGGGGTGAGGATCCACATTCCAAGGCAGCCAAGGCCTGTGCTACAATGACCTTGTCCCTCCTCGTTTGGGCTCGCAGATGGCACACCAACCACAGACATACCATACATCCACCTAGGCAGCATTTCTTAAAAAAGGAAAAAGGCAGAAGAAAGCCAGTCGGAAAATTGCTCAAAGGTGAGAGGCTGCACACGGGTGCTGTTCAAGGTGATAATGTAGGCATACAGGGCACCCTCATGTCACAGGAGGTGGAAGATAATGTGGGCAAATGGGATGAATTAGCATGAACTGGTATCGGTATGGGCCATGCCCTTGTCACTGCCCAGAGGGTCATCCTTGCTGCTTCCGCATGAATCATCCACCGTAGGGCATTCAGCATCCACTGGGTCATCGTCATCCTTCGCAACATCCTTCACTTCTCTGGTCAGTCTTGCTGGCACCCAGATTGGATCCTCTCGATTCTGAGGGAAAACACAAACAGCTCCCCTGGATCTGGTAATCACCGGATCCGGTCGATACCATTTGTTATCCATCTTTGTGTGGTTTTACTTTAACCTCTATTTCTTTTATTTTTACTTTTACTTTTTGAGACAGGTTCTCTGTATATCTTTATCCTGGAATAACACTGTAGACCAGGCTGTCCTTGAACTCACAGAGATCCTTCTGTCTCTGCCTCCCCAGTGCTGGGATTAAAGGTGTATGCTACCACACCTTGAACTCACAGAGATCTGTCTGTCTCTGCCTCCCCAGTGCTGGGATTAAAGGCATGTGCTACCACACCTTGAACTCACAGAGATCTGTCTCTGCCTCCCAGGCATTGGGATTAAAGGTGTGAACTACCACACCTTGAAGTCACAGAGGTCAATCTACCTCTGCCCCTTGAAGTCACAGAGGTCAATATGCCTCTGTCATTCTAGCCACATAATCAGAAAATGGCTCTGTAGAGCCTTGAATAATCTTGGTTAAGTTACCAGCCATTTCACCCTTATTAGGGAGCGATTTCCATGCTCTATAATGAATCTCATTAACCTGCTGATAAACCTCAAAAGGATAATTAATCTGATTTCCAGCAAATGGCCCTTGTCCAAGAAGCATATCAGCCGTTCACTCTGGGTGACAACCTTGTATATTTATGCGCGCTTGGACCTGAGCTCTGTCCTGGACAATGGATTTAAAATCCAGGAACTTCCCTGACGGAAGAGCTGCTCTCGCAATCTCTTGCCAGTCTGTGGGCGTCGGTGCTACTGCAGCAATCCTTCTCAATAGGGTAATGGTATAATTGGCAGTTACTCCATAATTTTTTGCAGCCTCAACCAAATCCTTAAGCTGTTTATAAGGTACTGGTTCATACCACCTATTATGATTCTGTGGCTCTTCAAAAACAGGGAAAACAGTCGCCAGACGCAACCAAGTCTGCCTCCCTATGAAACTGCAGCCCTCAGTCACAACTGGCGAGTATGTGGGTGGAGGGGTGGAAGCCACGGGTGCCACGGGTCTTCCGTTCCCCTTCGCAAACACATCATCATTGCCCCGCCTCCAGTTACCTCGCTCTTTCTCATATCTAGTGGCTGCCTCCTCAAGCTCCTCCTCCTCTTGAGGATCTAATTCCTCCTCTGATAAATCTAGATTTATAAACTCCTCCAGCACTAAACTTATGGGGTTTCTCTTCCCCTTTCCTTTTGTTACTATTTCCGGATCCTTTTCCTTTGATTTTTCCTTTTTTGCTTTTAGGCCTATCCTTATCTTCCCCTTTATGATCTGATTCTGAAAGGCTGTCTTGATGTTTCTGTAATGCCTTGCGACCTTCCTTTAATATCTCAGTGTTACGTCCTTCCTTCAAGCAGTTCCGCACAAACCTCCAAAGAGGAAGTGTGCCCCTTTCAATCTTTCCTTTTCTCTCAGCTTATTCCAAATCCCTGCCTAGCTTA